ATGCGGTGGACACGGTCGATAGCCTGGTCCTCCGTGAAAGGGTTCCACCAGGGGTCAAGGAGGTACACTACGTTCGCCGCAGTCAACGTCAACCCCGTTGAACCCGCACCGTACGACGCCAAAAACACCTGCGGCCCGCCGTCCGTTTGTTGGAACTCGCGAATCGCCCGATCCCGCTTCGCCCGCGTCAGGTCGCCTGTGTATACCACCGAAGTGATGCCGCGATCCGACAACGCCTTCTCCACCAACCTCAGCATCTACACACACCGCGTCAATTAACACATCAATCCGGGTCGTGTGATTGTGTGCGGGGGTGTGTGCGGGTGCCTACTCGCACGAATGAGCTGAAGATGACGACTTTGACAGGGCCGGGAGTGACGTCGGATGGGTGTCCTTGCTTGACTTGCTGGAGGATCATGTCCGCGACGATGCGTATTTTGCTGGATTCCTTGATGGGTGTCTCTGGGGGTGTCTCTGGGGGGGGTTGGCCAGGGGTATAGGTTTTCAGTTGCGCCACACTGACGACCTCGCTGAGTCGGATTTTGCGGCGGCAGGAGGGGCAGGTTTGCGCGCGGTGGTGTTCGAACCAGAGCCGGAGGCAGTTGCGGTGGAAGGTGTGCGAGCAGACAGTGACGGCGTCGACGCCTTCGCAGTAGCAGATGGGACAGAGCGTGTCGTCCTCCTGTTCGCCCGTGGCGCGTATTAGCTGTCGTATGATCGGATTGTCGAGCACCGATTCGATCAGCTTCGTGTTCTTCGTCCACCCTCGGTCGCCATCACCCAGCGCTTCCAGACCCCCTACGCCGTCTCGGACACGGATGGCCTCGGCAAAGGCGCGACTTGCGTTTGCCCCGAGTGCCGCCGGACTACCGCTCAGCAACCGCATATGTGTCACGAGTGCATTGAGTAGGATGAACTCCGTCCGGACCTCTGCGGACAGAGCGCTCGCCACGCGCCGGAATGCCTCGTAGTCCTCGTATTCGGCCGCGTCGAACTGCAGCACCAGTTTACTAGCTCCTTCGGTGGCAAACACATCATTCCCCGTGTCCTCGGCGACTCGAAACCGCGAGGTGGCCGGTTCGAGTCGGACCTCGACCCCCCACCCGACGAAACCAACTCGTCGCCCGACGCAGGTTCCGCCTCCGATACGTCCAAAGCGAACGCCCGGGGCAGCGTGGAGTCCGGCGCCAGAGTCTCGCGTGGGACTGCGGAAGAACTGGAAACTACCGACGCGAGGACGGCGGAAGCAGAGGCGGTACCAGAGGCCAGAGAGGTGCTGGAGACCACTGAAGTAGTGACCACTGAAGTAGTGACCACTGAAGTAGTGACCACTGAAGCAGTAGAAGCCAGAGAGGCGGTAGAGTGAGGCATGGGCCCGTCGGGGGCGAGTCTGAGTTCGGCGGTAGCGGTGTACTCAGATTGCGCTTGACCCGAGAGTTCAAGTAGACGTTTGGTACGTCTAAGGATATATGTTCGTATAGCAAAGGCTCTTCGGAAATGCATTTGGTGTTCGAAGTCATGTTGAGTGCGGCTGGGTTCGCGCTCAGTATAGAAACTGTGAGTGACGCGGATGAACTTCAGCAGTGGAAGCAGGTCTTCGACGGCGTTTTGAATGGGCGTGCCGGTGAGGGCCCACCCAATGTCATAGACGAGTTGAAGAATGCTTTTCGTGCGTTTCGCGCGAATGTTCCGGATCTCGTGCGCTTCATCCAACACCACTCGACGCCAATGGATTTTGTGCAGATCCGTGAGACTGTTGCCCTTGCCTAACAACGCCGCGTAACTCGTAATCACCATCACTTTTTTAGCCAAGTCGTTTAACGTTGTCTTACCCTTCACCGCACCGTGATACTCCAAAATCAAGTGCTCAGGTACCTGCGTAAACTTCACCATCGAATCGCGCCAATTACCAATCACTGATACTGGCGCAATCACCAGCGTACCACCCATCCGAACATCTTTCTCATCAAATCGTAATTCGCCCCCTATCTCCGCCGACCGGATTCCAGACCTCGCCCCTGTCCCCAGGTGCCGGCCTCGTCGCCTTCGCGTGTCTCCAGGTGCTGTCCCCAGGCGGGTCCCCCGCTTCGGGGCCGCTCGCAGCTTCTGCTCCTTCCTCACTCGACACTCCAGATGGTTGTCTTCCAGATGGATGTTCTCGAGAGGGTCACCCCCCTCGTAGTCACCCCCCTGGTGGCCGCCTGCCGCACTATCGTGTTCGGAGTCCGTGTGCAGCCAGTCGATGAGTGGGTCTTTGCGGACCTGGTCGTAGGTGTACGGGTCTTGCATGATTGTGGCGATGACTTGAAGCGTCTTGCCGAGGCCCATTTCGTCTGCTACGATACCCCCACGGGGTTGGTCGGGATCACATATACATTCCATGACGTAGGTGTCCAAGACCACGTCACGTGTGGCCAATCCACCCGTGCGGTATTCGCGTGGAAGGTACAGACCATGTGGCTCACCGTTTAATGGTGGTCGGCGTCGCGGCAATCGCACGTAGTATGTTTCCTCCAGCTTCGCGCCCGGCTGCTCTCTCCGTACCATCCAGCGGACGGCTTCCACCTGGTGGGGGAAGAGTTGTGCGTTCAACCGCAGCAGCGGGTTAGCGGGACGCTCCAACTCTTCCAAGACCCGCCCCTCGGCCAAATAGCGCCGCCATTCGTCTTCCGAACTCGGGGAGTTCGAATCCAGGCTCCGGTCCCGGTCGGGTGCAGGGGGACTGTCGTCGAGATGGATTACTTGGGGAGACAAGTCTCGTCTATGAAGAGTGGTAGGGGCACAGGGCACGGCGGCGCGGTAGGCGGCGACTGCGTCCTCGACACAGAGCGCAGGATCCACCGGCACATCGACGTAGTGCATCAGATGACCATACAACATGTAGTGCAGTGTGCGGCTAGTAACCACACGCAAGGCGAAACGATCGTAGGCTGTATTTACATCCGACTCCGCACGCGCCGCCAATTCTATATGCGCCATCCACTCCTCATACTCATTGTTAAACAACGGACAATGCCGTCCCACAAAACGGAGTCGCCGTCCCGGTCTCAACGACTCCGCGTCCACAAACCCCAAATACGACTCCACCTGTGGCAACAACGACCCCCAACCACGCTCCGATACTCGTTCCACAAACTCCGGCACTGCACGCGCCCCCACCTGCCGCACTCCAGTTATCGCACACTCAGACTCTGATTCAGAATCTGACGACACTCCCACTGCCCACCGTGTCGCCGACCTCTCGCTTCGACTCCCGTCTTCTTCGCAGGCCTTCCGGTCGCCGTCTAAACCGTCGCCTCGCTCAGCTCCCAGGTCGTCCTCTCGGTCAAATTCAACTCCACAGTCTACACCCAAATCAACACCTAAGTTGCCTCGTCGGCTACCGCCCGAGTTATCTCCATCGTCGCCCCCAAAGTCGGCGTCTCGCTCGCCGACTCGCTGGTCGGCTCGTTCGTCGTCTCCTTGGTTATCGTCCAGTTTGTTTCGGACGTCGTCCTTGGAGACGAGTTCACCCAAGTCGTCTCCAAAGTCGTCGCCTCCAAAGTCGTCGCCTCCAAAGTCGTCGACTCCAAAGTTGTCGCCTTGGTCGGGGGCGAGGTCCGGTCTAGGTTCCATTTCCGGCGTTTCTTCTTCAGAGTTGGTGTGCGGCAGCGCAGTAGTTCTGCGGCGTTTATGGACGAGGTGGGGGCGGCGTTCAGGCAAGTTTCGGGGGGCGGTGAAGCAGCCTGACCTGCCGTCCGCGCTTGGGTCTAGGAGGGAGGCGAGCGGGACGGCGCGTGTCTCCTGGGAGCCGGGGACGAACACGGCGGCGGTTCCCGAGAGAGGGAGTTGGCGGATGCGTTCGAAGCCGTCCGGGAACGCGCTCCACCCGACCGCCTTGTGCTCCCCGGCCACATCGTCGGGCACCCAGCTGCAGCTCGCGTCGATCAACGGCACCCACCGCTCCCGGCGCTCCGTGACTGCGCTGGTCGTGTCAGTTGCTCCAGGTGGCCAGGTCGCGGCTGGTGTTCCGGTGGGCGCTCGGTAGCCGGGGGCCTCTGCGCGGAGCGGTTCGAGTCCATGCGTGCCCATTTTGGGGCAGCAGGCTGTGAGGAGGCAGTCGCCCATGTGAAGGTTGACGGCGACCTGCGGAGGGCTGAGGGACCAGAGGGCGAGTCGGGCAGAAGGCAGCTCCGGGGGTGTGACAACACCGAGGAGAGCCGGCCACGGCCGGAGCAGGACGTGGGCGAGCAAGACCCCTGGCTGGCGACACCAAACGACGAGACGCAGGGGCTCGTGGCGCGTTTCCTGCGTCTCCGGTAACTCGACGCAATGCCTGTCTGCGACTACACGCACCTCGATGTAGCCATCGAAATCATCGCTCGTGATCACCGACTCCATTACACTACCTGCCATCGGAGGCAGCCATCCCGCCCTCTGTAATTCGCAAAAATCAGATTCCGCCGTCAACGTACCCACCATGCACCACCAGTACTGTGTGTCCTGGTCAATATACGAAGCCAGTCGCAGCCGCGACTTGACAGGGTGCAACTCCGCTCTCCGCTCACACTCCTCATACAATTCTTCCTCCTCAATCTCCATCCAAGTGTGCACGATGAACGCCACCTGCAACCCTTCACACAAACTTCCCGAATCCATCATGCAAACGCTCTCTACAAACATATTTCAGCTCAGCGTCTAACTCAGCGCCCGGTGGTCTCCTTACTTGCGTTGAGCCTCTTCTGGCTCATATACGCTTCAACATCTATTTTCCTCTTTTTTGGCGAAATCTCAAACATGCCTCGCCCCGGCTGACTGACTTCCCCCGAAACCAAGTCCCAGCTCTTCGCCCACAATGGCAAACACCGAGGAGCACCCGACCGTCGAAAAAAATTTCAAATTTATCCTTGGACAGGGGCGGTAGTATTGCAGATGACGTTCACTGCGGATTGCATACTAATCGCTGATTGAAAACTTAAGTCCGATTCCCGTGTAGGGCCTAACAGCACTACCACTTTCTGGAGCCCTTCGGGGTGGCTAATTTCCACTTACGGTAACCCTGGTTTAGGGGGGTAGTCTGCAGGGGCTTGTACCAACCTGAGTGTACTCCAGCCAGCTTCGATCCACAAACACGCCGTTGACCCTTCGGCCCATTTGTGTGGCAGCTGTAGAGGCACGGCTGTCTGTAGAGGCACGGCCGTGGTGGTCATTGAAGTTTTTTCTGGCGCCTAGTGGCACCGGTGATAAAAAAAAGTCAGTCGTAAGACAAAAAGTCAATAGAATCCTTTGACGCCGCTGGCTTTCCTAAGGATACGCTCGTAGGTCTCCTCGCGGATATGTTTACACGCCTTGTTGTTGATGATACGATCCTTGGGTTCTTCAGGATCCCCGGCTTGTCCGATTTTGGCGACGGTGCCCATTGCGTCGATTCGTATTTCGGAGTTGAGGGTGACGTTAATGTAAAGTTGTTCTTCGGTGCAGAATGAGTTTTCGACGTGTAGTTTCATGAGGACGCCATCGATGAGGTCTTTGATGTTTTTCATAAACTTGTGGTTGTCAAGGAGTTGAGGGCAGAGGCGCAGAAAGTCTATGACCTTCATCGCTGGTACTCCCCAAGCCAAGCCGCCAGGTACGCGGTTGATGCAGCTTCGCACGTCGAAGTTGTAGTTGTACTTTTTGGCAAGGAGCGTTAATGTCCCACGCACAGTCGAACGTTCGGTATCTAACAACACCTGGTCACCCTGTCGTGCGATGGCGGACATTGGTGAACGCATGACCGTGGCCCCCTGCGCGTTGGCCGGTGGCCACACTGGGATCCCGCGCTTCTCACCTAACACCACTGTCACCGGCGCGTTCGAAGCCAATTCCAGCTCCGGCCTCCCCGGAAAGACCTGTCCGGCCGCACCACGTGTTTGAGTATCACCACGCACCGCCCCAGCCGCCACCGCCGCTTCCCGCAAGGCACGCACCATCACCGTCGCATTCAACTCCTTCGCGCTCTTCGAACTTTTCGACACCAAACACGGCCCGAAAAAATCCACCTGCAACTCATTATGCCGATTCACATACACACACATCTGCGACGCACGTGTAAAGAAACGCTTGTCCTTGCTCTTCAACTCCAATACCATTTTCTCCGCTTTCTCCACCAACATATCACGCGTGTCCTTCGGCATGTGCAAAAGCACATCCTCAAAATTCGCTACCGCAACACCAAACGCCGCGCGTGGGTGGTTAAACACCGTTTCTGCCACCTCCGGCTTCTCCTTCAACTTCCCAGTCGACTTCCTCAAGTCCTCAGTCAAATCCTGCACAAAGTCCGGCTCCACTGGCACACGGTCCATCAACACCAACGGTGCCGGCCCCCCATCCAGCAGCTGTTCCAGCCCCCGAGTCACCAGCATCGGAGTCTCCTGCACCGTCGCGTACTCAGCCGGCGACACCTGCTCCTTCCGCCCCCGAGTCTCCAGCATCGGAGTCTCCCGCACCGCCCCGTACTCAATCTCCTGCTCCTCGAGCAACTCGATGGACTGCCGCGCAAACGGTGGCGTGGCGTACCGCGTTGGACCCGAACCCGAGCTCACGGTCGACTGCCGGTCGTGACCGCTCATGATCGACTGCCGGGCGTGACCGTTCAAGGTCGACTTCCGGCCCTGACCGTAGCCAGCGACTGGTTGGTCATAGCCAGCGACTGGCTGGCCGTAGCCAGCGACTGGCTGGCCATAGCCAGCGACTGGTTGGCCGTAGCCAGCGACTGGTTGGCCGTAGCCAGCGACTGGCTGGCCATAGCCAGCGACCGGTTGGCCGTAGCCAGCGACCGGTTGGCCGTAGCCAGCGACCGGTTGGCCGTAGCCAGCGACCGGTTGGCCGTAGCCAGCGACCGGTTGGCCGTAGCCAGCGGCGGGGGACGGTTCGTAGGTCACAGGCATCTGGCCGTCGCGGAAGTACACGGCGTGGGGCCGTTTGGTTGTTTGGGCCGAGGTGTCGTACTCGGAGGGTTGCGAGGGGGGAGGGCGGCCGGCGAACTGCGCAGTGGAGTCGACCCACTGCTGGAGCGGTGTGGGGGTGGAGTCGTTTGGCAGAGGGACCGAACTGCGCTCCTCGCGCGGCGGTAATGGGGGCAGGTCATCGGGTCCTGGCATCACGCGGACGCGATGACTACTAGACGCGCGGGCCGCACTGGACGTACGCTGCTGCGCCCGCCCGCGCGGCAGAGTGGACTTCGATCGGCCGAGCGTAGAGCCCGCGCTCGGTTTGGGTGGGACCGGCGGCGGACGGCGCGGAGTGACGGGGCGCACGATGTACTGCCCCGGCACATCCTGCCCGGGTTGACCGGTGACGTAAGGCGGTGGCGGCGGCGGGAGATCGGACCCGTCGGCGTAAGCTATGCCACGATGTTGCTCCGGCTCTAGCGGCGGCGGCGGTGGTGTGGCAGAGTTGGCCTTCCGCTGACCGTGCGGGTCTTGCCGACTGTACACGTCTTGTGATCCGTACATGTCCTGACCGCGGTACACGTCGTCTTGGTGGGCATCCGGCTGACGTCCCATCGTGGAGTGTCTGGTAAGTTTCGTCCTGGACGGTGATGCAAGAGTCGACTGCCGCGCAACACTCGACGGCCGGCGGAGAGTCCGCATCCCCTGATTTTCCTGCATTTCGTGGCGCTGTGGCTTTGGCATCGTCATTGTGTTCCGCTGCGGCTTCGGCATCGTCATTGTGCTCCTCCGCGGGTCGAACAGCGGCTGCTGCGGACCATACGCGGCCTGCGGCTGACCATACGTGGCCTGCGGCTGATTATACGCGGCCTGCGGCTGGCCATACGCGGCCTGCGGCTGGCCATACGCCGCCTGCGGCTGACCATACGCCGCCTGCGGCTGACCATACGCCGCCTGCGGCTGACCATACGCCGCCTGCGGCTCGACCGCATACATCTGCTGGGGCGGCGGGGGCATTTGTCCGATGCGATTGCCCTGTGCCATGCGCGGATGGCCCTGGCTCCGCCTCGTGGCCGGTAGCCGCTCGCCCGGGTTTACCACAAGCCGTTGCCTCCCGCTGTTTGTTGGGCCGTTCATGGCAAGCAGCGCGACGCCGCGTTTCGCCCAGTTCGTAGAGTCGTCAGCTTTCAAACTTCTCATTTTTCCCCTTTTATTTTTTTTTGGCACAAACAATTTAATTGCACGAACTTTCCGTTATGCAGCGTAGCCAGTCGTGGGCGTAGCATTTGGGAGCTCCAGAGCCTTCAAATATTTTGAATATATAATTGCGCGCACACGCGCGTCTTTGCATCGAGCGCACACGCAAACCGAGCCTGAAAACTTGCAGCCAAGGGTCCATGGTGCTGCTCTGGATAGGTTTTACGGTATTTTGGTATGGTCATGGGTGCAGACGATTTCTGGGGAGTATAAATGGGTCAGGTCAGGGCTATGCGATCCATCGACGAAATGCTGGAGGGACTGAAGACGCGAGGCGAGTTGCTGACAGAGAAGGAGATTCGGGGAGTGATTGCCCGAGCCAAGGAAATCTTTCTGGAGGAATGTAACGTAGTCCATCTCTCCTCGCCGGTGACCGTGGCCGGCGACATCCACGGTCAGTTTTACGACCTGCTGACCCTGTTCGAAATAGGCGGAGAACTGCCTCAGACCAGCTATATTTTCCTCGTACGTTCCCCCCCTCCCCCTCGTACGTTCCCCCCCTCCCCTATCCGTATGGTCTTCTTGTAGGGTGATTATGTGGACCGGGGTGGTAATAGTGTGGAGACACTATTATATTTGGTGTTGCTTAAGTTAAAATGGCCGAGTCGGATTACACTGTTGCGAGGAAACCATGAGAGTCGACAGATAACCCAGGTGTATGGATTTTACCGCGAGTGCTTACGGAAGTACGGGACGCCGACGGTATGGCGATTGTGCACAGAGTTGTTTGACTATTTAGTGGTGGGCGCGTTAGTAGATCAACGCGTGTTGTGCATCCACGGGGGATTGTCGCCGGAAGTAAAGTTGCTCGATGACCTGGCTGGTATCCAGCGATTGGGAGAGATTCCGGACGTGGGTGCTTTCGGAGACATAGTTTGGAGTGACCCGAGCAGCTTGGTCGAGGCCTGGGCTGTGAATCCGCGAGGAGCGGGCTACCTCTTCGGCGAACGCGTAGCCAACGAGTTCTGCCATCTCAACGACCTCGACCTCATCGCGCGGGCACACCAACTCGCCATGGACGGTTACCTCTACCAATTCGACTCTGTCGTCACCGTCTGGTCAGCACCCAACTACTGCTATCGCTGCGGCAATGTAGGCGCCATTATGCGACTAACTAAACATGACCCGTCATTCGCCATCTTCACGCAGCGCCCACAAACCCAGCCGCCCCCCGAACCCACTCAACCTCCGACCTACTTCCTCTAACCTGACCCCATGTTGACCCCACGTTGACCCCACGTTGACCCCCACGTTGACCCCCTCGTTGACCCCCTCGTTCACTAACCATTGCATTAGCTCTGGGGCAATTTTGCGGCTCAGTTATTTGCGCAAGGGGGGGCACACGCGTGTCTGTCCTTGTTTCATGTATCGGGTCGGGCGCGGCATCTCGAGCATGGATCCCGGTGTAGAAGCGGGAAGCCAGTGAGTCGGCCCAGGGGGTGCCGCGGGTACACAGGGGCCAAAACGGCGAAATTTTGCCGGGCATTTTTGCGTGAAAAAAGTTGCACGACGGATGGCTGTGGCGTACATAACTAAGGAGCAGAAGGATGACATGCTCAAGCGCATGGTCCTCACCAACGTAAGAGCACGCGATCCAGGGCGGTGTCAAACACAGGTGTGTGCACTTTGTCTGGATGGTTAATGCTATAGGCGCATCTCGGTACGGAAAAGGTGGAGCCGAAGATGGCGAGTCACGTTTTCAGTCGTGCGGCGGAGGGCCACCACGTCATAAACATTGAGCACACGATTGAGAAGTTGGCATTGGCTGCGCGGATTGTGGTAGCCACCCCTAACCCCAAGGATGTGTGCGTGGTAGCTTCTCGGGATGTGGCAAACAGGCCGGCCTTGAAATTTGCGCACTACACCGGTGCAACTGCGATGGCTGGGCGTTGGACGGCTGGTACGTTGACAAACCAGATCACGAAACAGTTTATGGAGCCGCGCGTGGCCATTATAGCTAACCCTGAGGACGATGCACAAGCCATTGCTGAGTGCTCCCGTGCTAACATTTGCGTCATTGCCTTCTGCACTTCCGACTCGCCGCTACAGTATGTCGACGTGGCCATCCCCTGCAATAACCGTGGCGCCCAGGCACTTGGCCTCATGTTCTGGCTACTCGCACGCGAAGTCCGCTACCTCAAGGGACTCCTACCCCGCGCCGAAGCCTGGGATGTCATGCCCGACTTCTTCATGCACCGTCTCACCAACGACGATCGCAAGAAGGATGACGGCATCTCCGACGATGACGAAGACGCTGAATCCCAAGCCGAGGATGCCGAAGCTCAAGTCGAGTAACTTTTTTTACAAACAACACGCCACCAGTACCAACGGACCTCGCGGCGCCAAATATCGGGGCCCACTGGCAGAAAGGGTCCGTCCCAATTCAAACCTAACTTTCCGAGGCAGCCCGGGTGCTCT